TAAACACAGTAATGTGTATTCTAACAGTTCAACACCCTGGTCATCAAGTGGTACTTTATATTTATTCATAATAATTATATATTTGCATTTTTTTATTAATAAGATGGGAAGGCCAGTGTATATATTTGTGTGAAGACCCGAAGATCCAGCTGTCGAGGTCCAAAGTTGCTCCACACACTTTTTGCTGATGCCCATAAATGAACAACTTCAGGCTCAGTCTTAATAATGATTGATCTGAGGCATGGCAGATATAATGATCTTAGAGGGAACACCCAGAGTACAGAACAATATTGCTTCTGCTGTAATCATCGCCACAGGGTAGCAAAGCTACAGTTGCTTGATTGTGGGCATATTAATCATGTGAAAAACACATTATGTGCCTTCGCGTCTGATTTATTTTATTTTTCTCCAATGTATCTAAGGAGGCAGCCATAGTTGTCACACAGGCTGGACTTCGAACATGTCAACCTTTTGGTTCATGGCCATTATATACTGGATTGATCAGACTAGTAGATCATACTAATCCCAGAAATTGGCAAAGACATTTCTGGCAAGATCAACAGGTATTTTCTGTACTGTAGTTGGTGAACCTGTTTCCTAGCCTGAGAAAAGAGAACTAATGCAGCCACCACATCTGAAAAAGGAAAAGCTGCAATATTTTTTGTTTTGGGGCGTAAATACATTTGCTAAGGTGACAAAAACGCATATTACGGCAGATTCTAAACAAACGTCTTGCTCAGATACCTAATACCAGACCACATTTATTTATTACTGGTATTTATATAGCGCCAACAGTTTAGGCAGTGCTTACATACACCAGAAATGACCACAGATAGAGCAGGTTGGTAAACTAAGCATGGTCACACATGATACTGTGAGCAGGTCAGCATAGAAGTGTTATCCTTTGACCTTAAACTGATGCAGGAACCGCCTGCACTCCATACAGCGCTACGACCAAAGTAAGCATAGTGACAAACGAGGGGTCTTGTAAATCCTCAAGATAAGAGAACTCACCAGCATTCAAAGTGCAAATGTAATCTTATTTTTTGTAAATGCTGCACATGGATCATACGGCCAACATTTTGGGGACTAGCGGAATCCCTTCCTCAAGGTGACAGTGACGCACTAACTGCTAGTTTTGGGAGTCACTGGTGATGTCCCTACTGTGCTGCTCACTGTTCTCCTTGCTGGAGGCTCTGACATGAGGAAGCAAAGCCCTGCCTCCACCAAGATGGTCACCTCCACACAGACAGTGTAGAACAAGGCATGCCAATCAGT